ATCAGATGCTTTCTTAACTGCTGTTTTCTCACGGCTGTCATTTAGTTGTGTGTTTATATTGCTATTGAGATTAAAGCACGCAGCACATCTTAACACTGCTCTTAACAAATGTGGTCAGTGTTGCTAACAGTAAACCACTGCAAAGGTATTTCAATTTTCTTTTTACCCCTAAACGAAGAATAAAAAAGAACTTCGCTGTGAGTATATTGGGACCTTTACATGACTCAAACAGAAGGGACTTTCTCATATTTGACAAACTTTGCTCACAAATGAATATATCTGTCTGAGTTTGTGTTGATGTTTGAACAGACCGTGGTTTCCGGAGGTTCCTCCAGCACAAACACCAGCACTTAATGTGAGCAGTGAAAGTGTGGCGCCAGTTCAGCCCAGTAACATTGACAACAACAGTTACCAAGGCAACAGCCAAGATGCTGGTGGCTACCATGGCAATGGTTACCCTGGAAATGGCTACAATGTTAATGGTAACAATGGGACTGGTTATCCAGGGAACCATTACTCCAGCAACGGCTACAGCAGCAATGGATACAATGGTAATGGTTACCATACTAATGGATACAATGCTAACGGATACAACGGCAACGGTTTCTCTGCACGGCGACGTATGCTTCCCCCGACTCCCTTAGGTAAAACCAACTACTATATTTCTGCACTGCACACAATATAACGTGTTCAGCTCTTCAGTGAATCTAACATTGTTTATTCTTTCCTGTATCTGTCAGGTCGAAAGCCAAACTTCAACATCCAGTGTTTGAGAAGGCAGACCAGTAATGAAGATCTGCCCATTCCAGGCACTTACCATCAAAACTCCCCACCCTGCAGGGCACAAGCACAGGTACACATCCCCAAAATGATCCATACTTTACTGTATAGCAGGCATTTGCAGTATATTTATTTCAGTCATCATTGTAGTTTATTTAATGATATATTACGGTTACCATAATAAAAATCCTTTAATCATTATTTTAAATGAATTATATACAAAACATGCTATTTGAGTAGGAGCTAAAATGTATATCTATATTATTTATTTATAAATGCAGTCTGCTCTAACTTCTTGATTAATGATTTTTGCTATAATAATATTCATGCTACAAATTTAATTTATATGATTATGGTTATTATTCATATTAATATAATCTATATATTACATTAAATAAACATTTTTATATTTATATTTACAATATACTTATCCTGTCACTGATGAAACTATAAACGCATAGCAAAATAGGTTTCGTGGATTGTAAATGTAATAAAAAAATGTTGTCAATAAATTACTATAAAGGCCTTATTAAATATAATGCAAAGAAAACAAATTACATTTTTAAAAAAGTATGCAACATTAAGTATGCAATAAAAAAAACATCTTAGGTTCAGTCAGTTCAATTAAACAATAGACAGAAAATTCATTAAATTAATTTTCTTTGTATTTTATTTCATAATTCAGGCTTTAAAGTGTTGAAAATATGTAGTGTATCATTTTGAAAATACAGCAGCAATTTACTTTAAACAAAATCAACATTGTGCAAATAAATTACATTATTATTTAAATTAAATTAATTAAATATATTTAAATATAATTAAATTATGACAGTTTAAATTTTTCCACACAAAAAAATAAAATGATTTACGTACCTGCTCCAACAGACAAACAACAGCTACGACTCACGGCGGAGCAGCATTTCATCTGGAGTTTCTTCGGCCTCTTGGGCAAACAACCAGGCCAGACGGGGCCGTCTCCTCTACGCCCCCCTCATTCTGGTGAACGAGGTGGGGGGCACTCAGGCAATGTGGGGCGACACCAATGGCAGCGCCAGTCTGCCGGCATCGGCCCGTCCCGGATGGATTGGCAGTGGAATGGCAAGCGTGGCCCAGCAGCCTCGAGCGTACACCACTCTCAGAGTGCCGTCCCAACACAGCCAATACATAGAGAAGGGAAGCGCTGACAGCCTCGTGGAGTCGGTAAATACGCTTTTTGAATGGTGTATAAAATTACCATTTTGCCTGAAAATAAGTAATAAGGATAGTTGTTATTTGTGCAAGTACAGTGGCTATAAAAACTATTCAAGCTGAACTTTTTGCTTTACAGCAGTGAAGCATAGACTTAATTTAGCTTTTTGGCTGTGATTAACAAAAGAGGAAACATAACCCCTATAAAGCCTACTTTCTAAGTTCTAAGGCCTCTAAATTATCAACATGATCTTTGAAAAGTAAATGAAAAGCCTTTTAGTATAACTGTAAAAATTCCCCCCTTTCAGGTTGTGGTTCACGTGACTTTTGCTGTGAAATCTATTGATTTTATATTGCTTGTAATATTTCAAGATGAACAATTACTGGACTGAAGCAATTTAGGATTACTTGATTATCCATACATATACAGTGGGTACGGAAAGTATTCAGACCCCCTT